TGATCTTGTTGCTTCTACTAGTATTAGTAATAACACTGGGAATTAGGGCTAATTCTAGTAATTACTATTACTGTTTTTCTGCAGTTGATGTTTCTTTCTCTCCTGGATGGCGGTGTATTCGCGTTTGGTGGTTCCTTCTCATATCTGATGGATGAGTCGTTGATGACATTTTTGCTTATGTTTGAACTTTCCTTTTTTTTTTTAAAAAAAAAAAAGAAGAAATATATATATTATTTTCTTCTTCACTTTCTTTCTCTCTTGTTACTGTTTCTATTAACACATTATATTAAATGTGGTTGGATTGAATGTGTAATCCATTCCCTTCTCTTCCTCTTTCTATAAATAAACATATATAAACATAGACATTACATCCTATAGTATAGATACACACATATAAACATATATTCACAGATATACCACACACACACGCAGTGGTTGATAAACAATCTCATCACACATTTATTTCTATATATATATATATACATATAAATATATAAATATATACACACCGATAATACATCTCATCTATGCAGCGCAGAAAACAGCAGCCTGTCAGCAGTGAAATCCCCACTCCCACCGATACTAATACTGTTAATACTACTAGTACTAATAGTAATAGTAATATGGGGTGGTTAGAGGATGTGAATGATGCTGATTACGTGCCGCCCTCTCAACGCGGTGTGCTCTTCTTCTCAACTCTCCCACGCGACATGCACCCACACGAAGTCTGTCTGCACTTCAACCGCTTTGGCCGCATCACACGCCAGCGCTTCATCCCTTTCCCTCCCACCTCCTCCTCCTCTGCGGGTTCCAAATCGAAGAAATCAAAGAAATCCAGCATCCCGCACTTCATGCATGCGTATTTAGAGTTCGCCCGCAAAGAAGATGCGGCCCGCGCAGCAGCGGCGATGAACGGCACGCCGGTGGTCTGCAAACGCCGCCGCCGCTGCTACGGCCAACTGTGGACGGTGCAGTTCGCCGCTGAGATCACGTGGGACACACTGCGCAGCGAGCGGGAGGCGGCGGTGCGGCAGCGGCGGGCGGCAGTCGTGGCGGCGCGGGGGGCCGAGCGGGCGATGAATGAGGCGTACAGGCGAGCCGTCGCAATGGCCGCGAGTAGGAGAAGTAGCCACAGGAAGAAGAATATGAATAGTAATAATAATAATAAGAATAATGAGGAAGAAGAGAAGGAGATGAAGAAGGAGGTGGTGGTGGTGGAAGATAATAATAGTAATAGTAATAGTATTAAGAAGAGGAAGAGAGAAGCAAAAGGAGAAGGAGAAGGAGAAAGAGGAGGAGGAAAAGAAGCGACAGGGAAAAAAAAGAAACAACGAAAGGAAGAGAGGGAATGAGTGGTTGAAGAAGAGTCGTTTGTTTGTTTTCCTTCTTTTTTCTTTTCCTTTCTTCTTTATTTGTTTTCTTTTCTTCATTACTGAGTGTAATGAGTGTGTGCCATTGTGTATGGTACATTCATGCTGTCCTTTACACCCCCCCTCTCCTCCCAGACGTTTAAAAACACATAAAAAGAAAGAAAAAAAAAAAACCACTATATATATATATACATATACAAGAATAAGAATGAAGAGAAGAAGAAATTAAAAGAAAATAAAAGAAACTGGATAACAAGTGAATATTACACTTGTGTTTGTCTGTAGTGTATAAATGTATACATAAACATTTTTCTCTTCTTGTATTTCTTTTTTTCCTTTTTTCTTTTTTGCGTTTTTTTTTTTTTTGTGTGTGTGTACATGCACTACTGCTGTTTATAAACACACGCACACACAAAAAAAATTATCGGCATTCACAATATTGATTGTGATAATTACACAGCAATTAGTTTTTCTTTTTTACCGCAACTTCTAGCTATCAAACACCTCTCCCCTATTAGAGAAAAAAAGAAGAATAGATTGAAGGGATAATAAGAAGGAAAAAAGGAAAAAAAAAATAAAGAAAAATAAAACCAGATAAGTTCATAGGAATTATTTGGTTTTTTTTTTTCTTTACTTTTTCTTTATTTCTTCTGTATTTCTCAATCTACACGTGAAAGCGCCTGTATATATATACAGTATATATATACCCTCGCATACGGTGTATCGGAAGATACATCATTTGTTAAGAGAAAGTACAGTGTAAATCACGCTTTCTCTACGTTCTTCGTCATTTATATTGGTGAGCCTTCGGTTGCTTCCTAGCGCTCGTTTTATATCCTCATCACCCCCAAAAATATCAATCATGTCCGCACAACAAACAGAATCCAAAAAGAAGAAGAACAACTCAGCCGCCAAGTCCGGTGGATCTGGTCCAGCTGTTGATCTTAAGAAACTGGAGGAGCCAGACTTCTGGAAGAAGCGTGATGAACTCTTTGATGAACTCTACGCCGCCCAACAGGCACGTCAACAAAGTATGCAGGCTCCCATTACCATCACATTACCAGATGGTAAAGAGATGGAAGCCACTAGTTGGTTAACAACGCCTATTGATATCGCGAAGAAGTTGTCCAACTCCCTTCCAGAGAAAGTCATTGTGGCCCGAGTGAATGGTGAACTGTGGGATCTCACTCGTCCATTTGAGTCCAACGCCACACTTGAACTTCTTGACTGGGACGATGATGAGGCGAAACATGTCTTTTGGCACAGTTCCTCCCACGTGCTTGGCTACGCATTGGAGCGTGTATTCCACACACGTCTCTCTGTTGGCCCCGCATTGGAGGATGGTGGATTCTTCTACGAAGGCGACACGGGCCGTCCACTCACAGAAGGAGATTACAACTCCATTGAGAGCGCCATGCAGGAGTTGGTGAAACAGAAGCTGCCTTATCAGCGGCTTACGGTGACAAAGGCAGATGCCCTGCGTCTCTTTGATTACACCAAGTTTAAGAGTAAGATCTTGGCAAGTAAGGTGCCGGAGAATGGAACCTGTACCGTGTACAGATGTGGACATTTAATTGATCCATGCCGTGGTCCGCATTTACCCGATACTGGACGTGTGAAGGCATACGCTATTACAAAGAATTCCTCCTCATACTTTGAAGGAAAGGCAGAGAATGAAGTGCTGCAGCGGGTGTATGGTATTTCCTTCCCCAAACAGAATATGCTTTCCGAGTGGAAGGTATTACAGGAAGAAGCGGCCCGACGGGATCACCGTAATATCGGTAAACAGCAACAACTCTTTGGATTTAATGAAGTTTCACCCGGAAGTGCCTTTTGGTTACCCCATGGAGCACGTATTTACAATACATTGGTGGAGTTTCAACGTAAACAATACCGTCGCCGTGGATTTGAGGAAGTGGTCTCACCTAATTTATACTCTTCTAAACTCTGGATGGTCTCTGGTCATTGGGAAAAGTACGCAGAAAACATGTTCTGCACCGTTGTGGAGAAGGAGGAGTATGGTATGAAACCCATGAATTGTCCTGGTCACTGTATTATGTTTGCCATGCAACCACACTCTTATAAAGAATTACCCATTCGCTATGCAGACTTTGGTGTCTTGCATCGTAATGAACTCAGTGGTGCCCTCACTGGACTCACTCGTGTACGTCGTTTCCAACAGGATGATGCTCACATCTTCTGTCGGATGGATCAAGTACAGGAGGAGATTCAAAGTGCTCTAGGCTTTCTTCATGATGTTTACGGTGTACTTGGATTTAAATTTTTCCTCAAGCACTCTACTCGTCCAGAGAATAAACTCGGTACGGAGGAAATGTGGGATCAGGCAGAGTCCTACTTGCGGGCCGCACTGAATGCCTTCTGTGGTATTCCAGAAAAACTGCCAGATCCATTTAAGGAGGGTGCCACCTTCACCTTTGATGGACGTAAGGACAGTGTCAAGAAACTCCGTGCACTTCTTAAGAAGCGCGCCAGCAACCAGAATAATGAAAATAACGGAGCTGCCACCGAAGGGGGAAGTGACCATTTGGAGTGGAAGGGACCCACACACGCCGATGCGTGGGAGGAGAACACCGGTGATGGTGCCTTCTACGGACCGAAGATAGATATTGTGGTGGAGGATGCCCTGCGACGCCGCCATCAGTGCGCCACAGTGCAGTTGGACTTCAACTTGCCGCAACGATTTGGTCTCAAGTACACACTGCCAGCCGCCGCAGCCGCAGAGGAAGGTGAAAAGACACAGGAACAGTCCGAGTCTCATCATGTGGATCCCAACAATGCAAACTTGAACAACAATGAGAACAACAACAATAACAAGAAGGAAGGAGAGGCAGCACCCGCCGCCGCCGCAGCAGCAGCAGGAGGAGCTGCTGCTGCTGGAGAAGAACCACTCTCTTCCTATGAAATAGCGGCACGTGAGTTATGCATTGATCGCCGTCTGGATGCGAATCAGGCTCGTCCAGTTATGATCCACCGCGCCATCTTTGGATCGCTGGAGCGTTGTATTGCCATTCTCTGTGAACACTACGGTGGGGAGTGGCCACTGTGGCTCAGTCCACGGCAGATCATTGTGGTGCCAGTCTCCGCAGAGAACACCGCCTACGCCAAAAGTGTGCGGGATGCATTCCATGCGGAAGGTTTCTACGCAGATGTGGACAACAGCAGCGCGACATTGGATAAGAAGATTCGCAATGCGGAACTCGCACGGTATAATTTCATATTTGTGGTTGGAAACGCAGAGGCGGAAACGCAGTCGGTGAATATCCGCACACGTGATAATCGCCGGCATGGCACCAAGACACAGGCAGAGGCAATGCGCTGGCTGCAGGAGCTTGTGAATACATATGACCCATCCTACTAGGCAGTCGCATAGAGGAATATGAGGAAGAAGGAAGAGAAAAAAAAAAAAAAGAATAACAACAAAAAAAAGGAAAGAGGTGAAAGGAAAGTAAAATGCAAGAAAAAAAAAAAGAAAAAAGAGAGGAATGCAAGACGAGAGGGTCTTTTGAATAAATAACGAAAAAAAAAAACAACAACTGTGGAATCGTTCAGAAGAAGAAAAAAAAAAGTTAAAAAAGAGGGTAATAAAAACAAAAAAGAAAGGCGAGAGAATGGAAAAAAAAGTAAATTTAACCAATAGTATATTGTATTTATATTAATATATATGTTTGTGTGTGAGTGTGTGCGTAAAATAACAAATGCTAACGAAATTGACGTTACGTCTGGACGAAAAGAAACGAACGAAAACCAAAGGCCATTCTTTTTTTTTTTTGGATAAGACACGACCAGCAAATTATGGGGATAACGACAGCAACGAAAAGTAAAAATGGAAGAGAGGAAAAGAAAAAAAAAAAAGACTAAAGAGACATGAAACGGGTCAAACTAAAATGCAAGAGAAAGGAAACTGCAAAAAGAATGAAAAAAAAAAACAATTGAACATATATATATATATATATATATATAATTTATCGACCGTTATACTGAACTGAATGGACCTGTCTCTTTTTTTTTTATTACTCTCTGAAATGAACTTAAAGTTGTTTTTAAAGTTCTTTTGATGCTCAGTTTGGTTGCACTTTTTCTTGTGCATACCTGTTTTTTTTTATTTCTCTTAATGGTGTTATTATTTTTAATTATGCTATTTATAGGGACACATACACCTCATGCTTGAGCGTGCTCATATTTGCATACATGGCACATACTGTAACAATGTCGCTTGAAATGCATAAGTGTATGCATTTGAGGTGATCATGTACTCGTGTGTGCGTGCTTATATACACTTACTCACTTATATATATATGTTGTATTGAAAGAGAGGGGAGAAAGAGAGAGAGAGAGAGATGTTGTATACCAATGTCATTATTGGTTTTTGCTCGTATGGGGCACTCTGTATTTCTATTAAGTTTTTCTACTACTAATTTCTTATTTCTTTTCTTTTTTTGTTTTTGGTTGTGTGATGGTCTATATTGTTCTTTCATTTCTGCAAGAACACGGGCAGGAGGAGAAAGAAAGAAACCTCTCTTATACCATTTGCATATAAATAAAAGAAAAGAAAGCACCTCTACACTGAAAAAAAAAGAACGAAAAAGCAAGGAGACCGATCAGACTGTCACAGAAGGAAAAACAGTAGAAAGGAACAAAACAAACAAAAAAAAAAGAAAGTTGGTCTAAACAAAAGAAAGACAAACCAAAATAACATTTCAAAAAAAAAAAAAAAAAAAAAAAAGAAAGTTTAAAAAAAAATCTTTTTATTATTATTATTTATTTAAAGGGATAAGATCGATCCTACAACAAAAGTAATGGATTGTGGAGCTGGGTCTGCACTTGGGCGTCAGTTCGTGAAGGATGCACTTCACATGCATGGAGGCGTTGGTATGGGCACCAGCGGCAACCCAGAGCAGGATGCATTGATGAACGAAATGATGATGATGCAGCAACAACAGCAGCAATCTGGACATACGGGTGAATGGGCACAACAGTTTGCCGCACATCATCATCATCATCATCATATGAATATGCAGCGTCAACAGAATGACGTCGTTATGCTTCAACAACAACAGCGAGAAATGGAAGAGGCATTTCGTGCGTCCTCTGCAGTTCCACAACAGGCAGTACCGACTCCTGCCATGATGGGGCCTCACATGATGGGGCCAATGATGGGTGGTCCTGGTTTCGCTGGCTTCATGATGGGTGGACCGTCAATGATGATGATGCCACAACATCCTCAAATGATGGTACCATCAAGACCAGTAATGGCAACAGCAACGAATAAGGCAACAACACAGGAGGCAACAAGCACGGCAACGGCAGTGGAGAGTAATCAGACGCAGGAGGATAATGCATGGACAGAGAAACTGCGTGAGGCAGAATGGGGGCAGGACTACAGCGATGTACAAGAGTACACTCTGGATGGACAGACACCGCAAACAATGGAAGAGCATGCGGCGAACTCCAAGTTCTACCAATTTATGGATAAGATCCGAAATAAGGAACTCATCATTGATGAAGAGATTGGACAGGTAGTGGAAGGACCTGGACCCGACCCGGATGTTGCTGAGGACACTGAATATTTAAAAGAATGGGCCAACGCAGAGGGTCTTGAGATGCCACCAGGTGTTTTTGAGCATATGCAGCAGCAAGGGGGACTACATCAAGGCGCGGGTTACATGCATGCTGGGAATGATGGTGGTATGCCACTTGAGAAGGAGTTTGATCCCACAGAAGATTTAGAGGATTGGGCAAAAGAGTATGCAGAGCTACAGGAACAGATGCAGAAGGCACAAAACAACACAGATTACCCATTTGAACCAAATAATCCGTATATGCATCACGATAACCCGTTAGAAGAAGGACGAGAAATGCTGCAATTGGGAAATCTCGCTGAGGCCGCTCTTGCCTTTGAGGCCGTGTGCCAAAAACAGCCGGAGTATGAGGAAGGATGGCGTCTGCTAGGTACCACACAAGCCGAGAATGAAAAAGATATGCTTGCTATCATTGCCCTAAATCATGCACGTATGTTAGATCCAAAAGACTCCGCCGTGCATGCCGCACTTGCCGTATCGCACACAAATGAACATAACTCACAAGCAGCTCTACAATCATTGCGTGCGTGGTTACTCTCCAACCCACAGTATGAGCATCTTGGTTCAGTAAATCTTCAGGATGTGGCAGGTCCAGGTGAAGAACTGGATGTGACCAGTGAAGACTTTTACTTTGCCGCACCAAGTGAATATCGTGAGTGTCGTACACTTCTACAAGCCGCGGTGGAGATGAACCCAACGGACCCACAGCTGCACGCTAGTCTCGGTGTTCTGCACAGTCTATCAAACCGCTTTGATGATGCCGCCGCTGACTTCCGCCACGCTGTTGAACTTAGACCAGATGACGCGAAGTTGTGGAATAAACTTGGTGCCACACTTGCGAACGGCAACAAACCAGAGGAGGCACTGGAGGCATACAATCGTGCACTCGATATTAACCCTGGATATGTACGGGCCATGTACAACATGGCAGTGTCGTACTCCAACATGGCACAGTACCCACTCGCGGCGAAACAAATCACGCGGGCCATTGCCGTTCAGTCGGGTGGAACACAACCACAAGGTGAGGGGTCGCGTCAGTCCACACGTGGATTGTGGGATCTTTTGCGTATGGCCCTTAACCTCATGGACCGCAGCGACCTGGTGGAACTCACATGGGAACAGGATGTAACACCATTCCTGAAGGAGTTTGGATTGGAAGATATGTTGATTTGATATTCTAGTGGGATAAGCAGCATCAAGAACATCAGGAAGAACAAGAAACAACAAGAACAATAATAGGAGGAGGAGGGAATATCTGGGAAGAATGAAAGAAAGGGTAGAAAGGAGAGGAAGCAAGACGAAGGCGGCGTTGTGCAGGGTCACATACACAGACACACACACACACACACACACACACACAGATATACATATACATACAAATGTGGTGAACACAAAGTGATGCATCTGTCTATGTTGTGTGTGTGAGAGAGAGAGCGTTGTGGTGCCAATCCATTTGTTGTTGTTCTTTTATACCCTGTCTTCTTTTTAAATTCTTGCATTTTTAGCTATGAAGTGCGAGCATAGTCCCTAGTAGCGATGGGTAGGGGGTAAAAGGGGGAAGAGGATTGAAAAAGCAAAGAAAGAAACGAGTAAGTCTCATACACTCAAAACAAAGAAAAAAAAAAAAAAACAGAAATAAAATAAACACAATACCGAGGAAAAAAAAAGACAAATATACTCACAAAGGACGTGGTTTCCTGCGGGTTGAACAAGAGAAATGAAGAGAATGCGGATAATGAGCAAGTGCGGGATAACGCAAGGTGAAAAAAAAAAGAAGTGATAGAGAAGGACAAGATTCTATTCTCTCATAGTAGTGATAAGAAAACAAAAACAAGAAAAAACGAAGGTAATGATGAATTGTACATATATACGTTGGGGTACTTTCAGCATCCTCTTTTTTTTTTCTTACTTTAAATTGGTTGCATGCTCTTTTTCTACTTTGATCTCTAGTTTCTCGAGAGCATGTCTCCCTGTTTTATATTTGGTTTTGTTTTTCACTTCCTTTACCTCAAACAACTAAGCTCTTCTTTTCATTAACTCCCAAGAAATCCTTGCCCTTTCTCTTTTTCTTTCTTTTTTCTCACTTTTTTTTTCTTTCTACTGCGTCATACCTTTATCTGGTATTAAAGGAGGAAGAGAAAAAAGTAAAAGGCCGTTGACATATGTTTTTTTTTTTTTGTTACTCCCTTTACAATTTTTTTTTTCATTCAGTCTTTTTGTTTCTCTTGTGATTCTTTCACTTTTTTTAAATGTCTTCATATCGCTTCTGATTGTTTGCGACACACATGGATAATTTCCCACTTCTTTTTCTTCTTCTCTTTTCTTCTTTTCTTTGCGATGTATTGCTCGCAAATCCAAATTATATATATTTATTTATATAAAATTCAATTAAAAGAACGTGAAAGAGGAGAACACTTCTCACATCGCCACACCAGCGCATTGAATAACCCCACTGGTCCGTACACGACAAGAATAAAAAAATGGGTAAGACTATTCTCAGCTGCCGTAAGGGTAACGGGTCTGTGTACCAGGTGCACGGCCACAAGCGCCTCGGACCCGCCAAGCTCCGTATTCTCGACTACGCCGAGCGCCACGGCTTTATGCGCGGTGTTGTGAAGACCATTGAGCACGAGCCTGGGCGTGGAGCCCCACTCGCCCGTGTGGAGTTCCGCCACCCGTACAAGTACCGCCGCGTGAAGGAGCTGATGGTGGCCCCGGAGGGTATGTTCACTGGCCAGTCGATGCTCTGCGGCGTGAAGGCGCCCCTGGCGATTGGCAACGTCCTGCCGCTCGGTCAGATCACGGAGGGCTGCATTGTGTGCAACGTGGAGGCAAAGGTCGGCGACCGCGGCACCATCGCCCGCGCCTCAGGCGACTACTGCATCATCATCTCCCACAACCACGAGACAGGCCGCACCCGCCTGAAGCTGCCAAGCGGACAGAAGAAGACTGTCCCCAGCAGCTGCCGTGCCATGATCGGTATCATCGCTGGCGGTGGCCGTATTGAGAAGCCAGTGCTGAAGGCCGGTAACTCCTTCTACCGCTTCCGCGGCAAGCGCAACTGCTGGCCCAAGGTCCGTGGTGTGGCCCGTAACCCAGTCGAGCATCCCCATGGTGGTGGTAACCATCAGCACATTGGTCACCCCTCAACGGTGTCCCGCAATGCTCCACCAGGACAGAAGGTCGGTCTCATCGCCGCCCGCCGCACTGGACGTATTCGCGGTAGCAGGGCCGTCAAGGGCGCATGGCACCCAGAGGAGTAAGTCATATGAGGAGCCGTGGAAAAACAGATGGAGATGGATTACACCAGAAGAGGTTAGACGATTCAACCATCTGTGCCGATGTTGGGGGTGGGGGGTGTTTTTTTTTGTTTTGGTGCATGATTCTGTGTGCGTATTGCCTGAGTTTTAAACGTAAAACAGAAAGAATGAGTGCGTTCGCATACACGTGTGCCCGGCACCCTTTTTTTTGTCTCTCTTTCGTTTGATTTGAACTTTGTTTTTTTTTTCTTTTCTTATTTATTATTCATAAAATACATATATATATATATATATATATATATATACTCACTGTCTCTCCTTTTTTTGTGGCATGATGACTGGGGTGAGGGTGTAAAGAGAATCCGAGTGGTTGGGTTCTCTTTACTACTCTCGCGGTCATGATGATATGTGGGTGCTGTTGTTGATGCCTTTACGTTTTTCTTTTTTTTCTCTTTTTTTTGTCTCTTTTTATTATTCTTTGTATGTGTGTGTGTGTGTGCGAAAGTACTATTAGTGGTAACCATCAGTACGCCAGTTTGAGGCAATATATCATCAACAACAATAACAACAGTACATTTATTCCAGCCGAAAGCGGACACGTATATAAAAGCAGAAAGGAAGAAAAAGAAGATATCTGGGTTACACAGAAACACACCGGAAAAGTTTCTGAACACAGTGGGACAAAAAAAAAAAAAGTAGGCAATACACACACACACAAAAAAAAAAAAGCAGTTCGAACGTAAACAAGTGTAACCTTGCGAGAGTGCAGGTTAACAGTGCTGAGTTGACAGCAGACGTCCTAGTCCTGCTTCTAGCGTAACAGTTTACTATTTTGTTATAAATTTTTTTTGCTGATATTGGGGACGTCATACTATCACACCATAGTTCGGTGAATCGAAGAGTGAAGCCAGTAGCAAAGGACGACACACAGTCGAAAAATAACAACACAAAGTAAAAACCAAATTGACTCAAACAACAGAAGTCTGAAAAGGGAAGTAACCCCACAATAAGAACAAACAGGCAAACTACACGTGACTAAAGCAGGTAAGTGAGTGACTGAGTAAAGAAGGGGAAGGGAAAGAAAAAATAATAATATTCCTGGAACGAGAGAAAATAGTTATAAATTTTTTTTTTTTTTTACTCATAGTTTTCAGCTGTACTTTTATCTTATGAACACTAAAAATGTTAACAAAAATGTTAAAAACGAAAAAAAGGATACCATGCGTCAAGAAGGGAGGTCACATAAAATCTTCCCAGTAGCCTCAAGAGTATTCTCACCACACCTAATGCCAGATTTGCTTCCAAAGGATCAAGAAAACGAGGGAAGCATAGAAAATGTGCCCACCGCACATTCATTAGCAGGATTGAAACCATATTCCTCTATTGGGGCTGCAAGCGCCTCTGTGGCCCGCTCCCATTCACTCTCTACTGGACGATACAAAGAGGATTTATTAGACAATATCGAGGGCGAGTTATGGTATATAACGCCAAACACAGGGCCTAGAAAACCCAACAGTATAGGGGCAAATTGGGTAACGTGCAACACTCGTCATCTCATGGTGTATAGTAGTTGGGGTGATCAAAGTCGCATTATCGAAGCTGTACACTTTGATGCCATACGTATTCTCTTCAGTTTCTCCCACGTACACAAACACAAGGATAAGGCGGTACAAGTGCCAATGACGGTGGTGTCACGTCAAGGGCAGGGTAAAGAAAGCAGTATGTCTAAACGAATGCAGAGCCAAACAGGAAACCAGAGCGTAGGTGTAAGCCGTCGCAGAGCTTCTCGGGGTTCCGTGCGTAGCTTTCACGCTCGTGGTGGAACGACTTTACCGCGATATTACTACTTTGGAATCGAGTTCCGTGAAAGCAATGACCCGGATGACGATGCTCATGTTCGACGTCGTCGTGTAATGGTTTTCGCAACAGACATAAAAAGCGACCGTGACATGTGGCTTCGGTTCTTCCAAGAGGTTCTAGCTGTAAAGAAGGTTTCTGTGTCGCGCAAAGTAAATGCACGCAGTCTCTCTTCTACATGGTTTGCTCCACATTCTAGCCCAACCAAAAGTGCCAAGAAAGTAGTTTGCAGTGAATCCGACGACGGAGATGATGATGATGAAGATGAAGATGAGGAAGAAGCATCCACAAGACAGGCCTACGCCCCTCTAAATTATGGTGAAACTGCACGTTATATAGGAAGCTCAATTGATTTAGATGTTGACAATCACTCGACGTCTAGCCTCCGTTCTGTGTCGCAAGACAGATATATTTTTGAATATGCAAACATATCTCCTCTACAAAAACAAGAGGAAGATGAAGAACGTAGTCGTAAAGCATGTATTATACAGGAGAATTATTATCGAGTTTTATTACGAGCAATCAAAGATATTCATTTATCCACACATACGAGTCCTCAGCAAACTTGCTCACAATTGGAAAGCGAAACGGATCAGGATGAGTTAATACAGTCCACTAACGCCACAGACAATGACATTTTCCTACAAACAAAAGAATACCTAGAGCCACTCCAAGAACTCATACAAACGCTACAAAACAATGTAGAAACAAAAGTGAATATAATTAGCTCTCTCAGGGAAGAGTACCAGCGTCACCCTTTCCATCTAACATTACTGAAGAATGAAACAGAAACGCCAGATATGGAAAGTAAGACATTACAAATAGTCAATCTACACGAATACGAAAAACAAGAACAGGAGGAAATATCTAGGCTTCGAAACACCAACGTGATGCTCTTAGAACAATTAGACACTACTACTAGCACTATCACAGACTTACAAAACAAACTAAGAGCAAGTGAACAACACGCAGAGCGACGCCAGATTGAAGTGGAG